CCAGTGTGAAGTTCCCACAGTCAGCGATGGTTTGGGGAGCCATGTCAGCTGCTGGTGTTGGTCCACTGTGTTTCATCAAGCCCAGAGTAAATGCGGCTGTGTACCAAGAGATTTTAGAGCACTACATGCTTCCGTCTGCTGAAAAGCTCTATGGAGATGAGGAATTCATTTTCCAGCATGATCTGGCACCTGCCCACAGTGCCAAAACCACCAGTAACTGGTGTACTGACCATGGCATTACTGTCCTCGATTGGCCTGCAAATTCCCCTGACCTGAACCCCATAGAGAATATGTGGGGTATTGTGAAGAAGAAGCTGAAAGACACCAGACCCAACAATGCTAATGAGCTAAAGGCCGCTATTGAAGCATCCCGGGCACCCATAACACCTCAGCAATGCCACAGGCTGATTGCCTCCATGCCACGCCGCATTGATGCAGTAATCCGTGCAAAAGGATTCCCAACCAAGTACCGAGTGCATTAATGGACATTTTCAAATGTTTGATTGTGTTTTGCTGTTATAAATCTTTTTGTTTTACTTGGTCTGAGGAACTATTCTAATTTTTTGAGATAGGATTTTTGAGTTTTCTTAAGCTGTATGCCATAATCAGCAATATTAAAATAATAAAAGGCTTGCAATATTTCAGTTGATTTGTAATGAATCCAGAATGTATGACATTTTTGTTTTTTTAATTGCATTACAGAAAATAAAGAACTTTATCACAATATTCTAATTTTCTGAGACAGTCCTGTATGTGCAAAGGGTGGTTCGTACACAATATGTTCCATATGTGTTTACATATAAGATATTATATCAGTTGAATTTGCTTGAATTGTGGCCTATTGCCTGAAACAAAAGGGAGACTGTTTTATCAAGGTTTCCCGATAACTCATGATAAGGATTTCCTGTTTCATTATCACCTTATTGGTATTTCCTTCTTTTCAGGAAAATATTACACCACCTCACATTGCACCCATTAGAAACATGTTTTCTCTTCAAGGACTGCCAAAAATAACAACCTTCCAAAATTACAGAAACACATTGCTTTTGGATGAACCTCGTTCATTCCCAGCTATTAAGCATTGCAATGTATGTGACATATATATTTGAAGTATTGTTGTTATTGGTTAGGGAAAGCTGGCATAATTCTGTTTAAGTATTGGAACATATTATTGAAGTGTTTTAGAGAATACTGACTGTCTCTTCTCTCCTTACAGATGGCTTTGTGCTCTCATTGGAATAACAGTGGTTGGAATCAGCGTAATATGTGTAAGTATGGGCAAGACAACTACACCATTACTGTGGATTCAGAAATCAACTATGGGACAATTGAGCACTGATCCATGAGGAATTTAAAACATGAACTGAATTTTAAGATGTGCGGGTGTGCAGTGAAATCAGTGATTTGACTCATCCCATTCCTCAGCCAGTAACCACAGTAAGTCATACAGGAAAGACTTTTCACTGACTATGAATCATCATCGACAGCGCCCTAAACAACCGATCTGTTCTATAGTTTGGTTTTCTTACTTTCATTGCGTCCATTGTTTTCTTTTAGTGTGTTCTAGTCTCATTTTGTATGAATGTTTTCTTGTATGCTTCTTAAAGTATTTATTTATCATTTATTCATTATTATTAAGGGTCTAAGAGTACTTACGAAAGCACTATATCAATTAAATGTAGTATTATTTCCCGGTCAGGACAGTCGGTTGGCATAACAAATGCTAAGTTTCCGGCTAACACTTGCTCTAGCTTGCTAGCTTGGTTAGCATGTTGCGTTCGTATTTTCAGTTTACTTTAATATTAGTTAATATTAGTTAATTAGTTAATTCTGGCTTCTCAAGTCATTCAATCAAGCTCAACAGAAAAAAAAATGTATCATTAAAAAAATAAAGATGAGTATTCACACCAAATATGAATATACAAAAGATACAACAAAAACGTACTACAATGAATATATGCCAATATATGAGCAAACTGCAGTATATATTATTTTAAAGTGGAGGGCTTAGCATTTAGCATTTCCCAGGACAGGAGGTTGCTGCTCGGTTGGACCCAGTACTTTGCTATTGATGTTTGAAGATAAAAACAAAGGTCCAGGTTCTCCAGATTATTCAGATGCATCTATCTTAGTTGTATGTCATTACTGTTCATAACTCATGCTGCCAATAGGAGACTTCACAATGATAACAACGCTCAAACAAAAAGTCTCCAAAATATCAGTGTTGTTGTTTACTCTGAAATGGGTCTGTCTGTTCTAGGTTTCATTTGCCAAAAACATCTATGGTCTGATTATTCCTAACTTTGGAATTGGGTTTGCTATCGGTAAGTCTGCTCAATTTAGAATTACAAAGTTACAAAGTAGTATTCTCCTTTATTGTTAGACCTTTATTGTGATGTGTTACAGGCATGGTGGACTCGTCTATGATGCCTATTATGGGTTACCTGGTGGACCTGCGGCATGTGTCTGTCTACGGAAGTGTGTATGCTATTGCTGATGTGGCTTTCTGCATGGGATTTGCTTTAGGTAAGGAATGACAAAACCGTAGCCATAATATCAACTATTAACTACAGGTTATGACGCCTTTAAATTAATTTCTAAAGCAATTAAATCATCTGGTTTATCTTGTCAAGATTAAATAAAATACTGTTTTACTGTTGAGCCATCTTTCATGGTTATTACATCTTACAAATATGTCAAAACAGATTTGAAAAGCAAAGTGCTCCTGACAAACAACTAAACTATGTGATCTGTCCTGGACGGTTGTAGGTCCGTCTATCGGCGGAGCCATATCTGAGAGCATCGGCTTCCCCTGGATGATGACCATCATTGGAATAGTGGATATTCTCTATGCTCCTCTTTGCATCTTCCTCAGGAATCCACCGGGACAAGAAGAGAAAATTGTAAGTTTCAAATCACACTTAAATAGAGTCAAACAAATCCTAAAGGAACACAGAGAAATATTGAAGGCAAGGTGAACAAACCACCAGAATGTTGTTTTTGGATGGATAACAAGTCGCACAACTCCCAACACTAATGTTTCTTGCATTGCCTTTCATTCTGAATGATGCTGCAGTATCCCATATATATATTCAACCACTAAGCTACCAGCATTGTATTCGATGTCTGCTCTTTTATATAAACTGTATTAGTATAAATCCAAATTAGCAAGAAAAATTATCCTGCTTGAATCTCAGTTGAATCATTCCATCGTAATTCACGTGAAATTTAATTTTAATCATTTTCCTCAAGTTTATTATAATACATTTACTAGACAAGAATGTTGATTAAACCAGTCTAGTATAGACGGTCCAATGAAAACATTTTGGAAGCAATTCTCTTCTACAACTGCAACTATAGTTTGAGTAATGTTGGCAAAATCATCCCCTATCTTGCTGCCACCATTCCACAGAAGTCATATCTGCAAGGTTCACTATTTCACTTAGCCGATGTGTTTTAGCATGTCTCTAAGTGAGAACAAGGGAAAGTCATTAAAAAAAAATTCTACTTTTTATTTAATAACTTCAGTCTGACAGGAACTCCTGAGCAATGATTATTAAAATCCTAAAGGAAATGCAAGAAAAAACTGCCTCAGGGGGGTTTGTGTGTTGCCGGTTTCTTCGATGTAGATACATGCATTTTATCATTTCTGTTTGGCACTTAACAGTAACACACTCATTCATGTTTTACAGACTTTAGTAAGTGGAGAAAAGCTATAATTACTGTGCCGTCATTGGACATCAATCAGCTGCATAATCTCCATCCTGCATGCTTGTGATGAACCTCCTCCACCTGGAGCTCCACCCCTCTATCTCAATCTGTCTCTCCATGCAGCATGTGTCATTCATGAGCTCTCCTCTCCCACACATTCTGTTTGTATCCCAACAACGCTGACATATTGGATCGGTTTCAGCCCTCTTATGACCGTTTTAAAGGTCCCATGTCATGGCCATTTATACTGATCATAATTCCATTGTTGAGGTATACTAGAATAGATTTACATTGTTCAATGTTCCAAAATCACATTGGTTTCTCATACAGCATCTCTGTATAGTATGCGTATTCACTCTCTGTCCTACACGGCTTGTTGGAGCTCCTGCCCCACCCCCTCTCTATGAGCCCACTGGTCAGCTCGCCCACTCTGTTCTGATGAGTCCACCACCGTTACAGCTGGTCATCAGTGATTATGTGTTACAATGGCGTTTGTTGGCAACCAGAAAATGACACCAGTAATGACAAACAGATGAGAATGCTGCGTGGGGTCTGGGTGCCGTGTTGGCGGGACGTTGCGGGGCTCACTTACTCAGTGAAGAGTAAAGCCAGACCAAAACAATCTGTAGATGAAAAGTTCCTGACATTGTGAGGCTGTGAATAGTACATTATTCCAGATTAATGGGACTATGTATTAATTTGGCTTTCAATATAATAAATATATCAATCAATATAACCTGCCTTCATTGTCTTTTAAAATAAACCCTTTTCCTTAACCCTCTGGAGTGTGAAGTAAAGGGTATTTTCTCAATTTTTAGATGTCTCCTTAAATCACCTTTTAAATGTACTTTTAAAAGGTTACATATCAAAATGTTCAGTCTCTGGTCTTGCTAGAAATGCAAAGTCACTCACCTTACAGCACTGTCTTATGAGATACTTAGCTTAGAAATCCGATTTTTGAATCCACAATTGAAGAATCGTGACACTAAATATCTCATAAGACAGTGCTCTAAGGTGAGTGACTTTGCATTTCTAGCAAGACCAGAGACTGGACATTTTGATATGTAACACCATGCCATGTTATAAGAAGTACATTTAAAAGGTGATTTAAGGAGACATCTAAAAATTGAGAAAATACCCTTCACTTCACACTCCAGAGGGTTAAGGAAAAGGGTTAGGCGATTTTATTTTAAAAGACAATGAAGGCAGGATATATTGATTGATATATTTATTATATTGAAAGGCATAGCCCCATGAATCTGGAATAACGTACAATTCACAGCCTCACAATGTCAGGAACTTTTCATCTACAGATTGCTTTGGTCTGGCTTTACTCTTCACTTATTGGTTACAGAAACTTTGAACTTAAACGGACCCCCCCCGTTTATTCAACGGACCTCCTCGTTTAAAAAAATACGTGCGAACATACGCGCGAATCATGGCACAAATGGCTTTCCATAACGGAGCTCCGTGCCGCACCGCGGCTGAGAAAATATAAGGCTGAGTGAGTGAGTGAGTGAGTGAGTGAGTGAGTGAGTGAGTGTGTGTGTGTGTGTGTGTGTGTGTGTGTGTGTGTGTGTGTGTGTGTGTGTGTGTGTGTGTGTGTGTGTGTGTGTGTGTGTGTGTGTGTGTGTGTGTGTGTGTGTGTGTGTGTGTGTGTGTGTGTGTGTGTGTGTGTGTGCGGAGCTCCGCGGATTGGTCCAATGAGGCGTTCTGGGGCAGCATAAACAGGTATTTTCTGTGTTAGAGTTTTACTCGCTACACGGTGTACTTTGAGGGTTTGTGACTCTGCAGACCGTTTATATGCAGAAAAAGCTACATAACACACAAGGGGACGGGTAATAACCGGAAAAGCATGACATGGGACCTTTAAGCTAATTGGGCATCAATTCACATTTATTTTTATTTTATTTATTCATGAAAAGTTTCTGTTCTGCTTTATTGCATTTGTTATGATAACTCCTCCTGCTCCTCAATAATGAATGTAGATGATGAGGTAGGCCTTCCTCTGAAACTGGGTTGTGTTTTTTGAAAGTTTCCATGTGAGGTGTTAAAGTTAAATGGATTTTTAAGATGTGTATCATTATTTTAGTGTCAATGAAAACATGCTTTGCATAAAGCAACTATGCATAAATGAAATGTGTTCATAGAAATTGGAATTCCGTATCAAGTCATAAAAAAAGCTTTTAATTGATATATAAAAATAAAAACAATAAATCACATAATAATTTAACAATAAGCCATATAGTAGGCTGTAACCCTTGCATTGCTTAAACAATAAATAAAAAAGGACAATAGGGGACTTATTGTTGAGGCAGAAATAACACATTCCTAGTCAGTAGGGGCTTGGCCTGTGAGCAGTAGGGTCGCCGGTTCAAGTCCCCGATCAGACCTAAATATGGAGTGTGGACTACTACTGGGAGAGATCCCATTTCACATCCTGGGCCCTGCCTGTACTAGGAGCTGCCCACTGCTCCTAGTACTAGCATGGGTTAAATGCAGTGTTCACATTTCACTGTGTGTGCTGTGTTCATGTATGTGTGACCAAATAAAGTGGGTTTCATCCCTCCGATTCTATATATTCTATATTGTCTTTCCAGGCTATTTTGATGGACACCAACTGCTCAATGAAGACACGGTCCTACTCCACACAGGGGACGTACTACCAGGGCGACAACATGGATCCAGAATATGAGGATTATGATTAACAGGACACCAGCCATGCAGGTTAACCCTTCAGAGGATTTATTTTGTTGTAAAAAAAAAGTAACAGAAGAAAAAAAAACAGCAATGAAACAAACAACCAAAAATATTTCTGTGTGAATGTCCTGCGTTCAGTCTGGTCTGTGTCCTCTTAGCAGTTGTACTGGAGCAAACCAAAGTTGTTCTTGATCTGTGGTTGCAAGCGCATAGTGTGAGAGATATTTTTTTAGCCAAAAGCCTTATTCAGTAGAGAGATGTGTCAAAAAGCACGTTTTAGGTAGTAGAAGGGTGCTGAGCAACAAGTACGCTTTGCTGGTTTATTTTGGATACAAATCTGTGTTAATTTATGTGTAAGCCATTAAAAGTCGTGTTTGTATCTGCTGTACGTCCATGATGCTGTCTAGAGTATTATAACCAGACCTTTTGCAAGTTCGTATTATATTGGGTAATTGTGTGGTATGTCAAGAAACTGTTGTTTGTCTAAAGTCAGGAATAATTGTTGGTATATGGTCCATGTTTGCATTGATGCAGTTACTACCAACTATGTAGAGAAGTCAATATAGATTCATGATATCCTCCTTAGAACCGAACCTACAGAACCGTACGTTATGGCAACGTCAGAGAAAGTATGCTGCTGTTCACCCTGCTTTTTTATTTAATGAATCATTAATACTTTAAATACCCCAAAAGTTGACTTTATTTACCTCAGTGGCAGGGAGAATAGGTCCCACAGGAAATTAGGAAAAAGTTCTGTCATTAATAAGATGGTGCAGATATAAGTCCTTAAACTTGTAAATAAGTTTGCAATTGACCACTTCCAGTACCCTGGTCTCTATAGTCAACGTTTTTTCTTAACGTTGTATTGGTTAGATTGAAATAAGGTCAAGGTACTGTAAAGAGATTCTTCATTTGGTTCCACTGATGAATGTCTGAAGCTTCCATGTGTCATAAAAACAGCAGTTGCTAAAATGTGACGAAACTTCACCACACTAAAGATGGCCGCCTTTAGCTTAGCGGTGGTGAACGGGGCCCTGCGGCAGTGATGGATTTTGTTTATAGCCTAACTTTAGCAATTTAGAGTCATGCCCTGATCTATTATTTTTTAACAGAAAAACAGTTTTTACTGGAGTGAGAATGAAACTCAGCACTTGAAACTCGACCTGCAGAGTTTTCACATTTCCCGCCTTCCTTATATAGTTCAGCTGAAGAAAAATGTACAATAGCTTAACATTAATGGGGAAAAACTGGAACGGTGGAATTCATTTTTTGAATGAAAACAGTACATCTGTTAGAAAAGACCAATCTAGAGGATCAAAGTTGACATTATATAGACCCTCCAGAAAAACGCGGGCAAAAATCCTTGATTATGCGGGCTAAATTCCTTGATTATGCGGGCTAAAATCCTTGATTATGCAATTAAACATGCAGGGTTTTTATGTGATTTTATGCGGTGAAATTGCGGGAAGTTGCAAAATATGCGGAAAGTTGCGAAATATGCTAAATATGCGGGGGAAAAGAATAACAATTTTTTTCAATATTGGGCTGTCTTATTTATTCTCTCTCACACACAACCTGCCACTAACGTTAAACCCCTTTACTATTCAATTAAACACATTCAATGTTTATTTATTGTAAAAGCAATTGGGCTATTTTAATCTCACACACACACACACACCCCGCCCCCCACACACACACACTTCTCCGCCTCATTCTGTTTTCATTTACTCGTTCGTTATCTGACCAGCTTCAATCTTGTAGGCTACTCACTTCGTTTCTTGTAGCCCTCGAAAGGGTTTTGGAGGTTGATGCCTCGGTGAACGTGAGTTGAATGGCTTTCTTGTCCGCAGCAGCAGAAAGCATTTTCGAATGTTTGAATTAATCAAAGTGGGTCGCCACCGCCGATTTTCTCTTATGCTCCAACACACAGTTGCACGGGGTGCAGAATAGTTTCCCCCCACTTTTTGCCCGGTCTTTAGTAGAAATGTTCGTCGGTAAATGAGATGGATTAGATTTTTTCATCTTGGTGTTTTCTCTATCGTGTGAGCTCCACACGTTCACTCTATACAGTGTGGTTTACATTCTGTGATGCGCGAGCTGATGACGTCACGTCAAGACGAGTTAACTTTTTTTTTCTCTCAACTTTGTGTGGAAAAATGCGGGGATTATGCGGCCTTTTGATAAATATGCGGCCTTTTAAATTCTGCGATCGCAGAATCACGTTTTTCTGGAGGGTCTAATTATACTAGATTCATCATGTGGGTTTTAATTAAGGCCCTTGTTCATCAACCTACTGAGAGACTCAACATGTGTGTCCATCTGAGAGGAGGATCTAATGAGAAATAAATAAAGAGACAAAGAAAAAGTATGAAAATATGAAACAACGTGCACATCATATGTATGCTTTTCATCTGGTATTACACCTACAGTACAACAATTTGGCTAATTGAAATAAACTGAAAGACACAATATTTCACAATAACTCCATTGTTGCTTTAGGCCTTCAATTGCTATACATGTATTTCCTTGTGAAAGGCAAGGCCCCATCCCACACCCTATCAAACTGAAAGCCCCAGCAAGTAGGTATCCTAATACTACTCTCAGGATTAGGGTTGTTTTAAATCCCCAAACTACTACTGCCATCAATACCTACATAACACTTGCAATAAAGTTGTCTGGTCAAGCACCAAGAGCCAGTCAACATTTCTCAACAGAGAATGTTATAGTTCAGATGTGATAATCCACTTCCTACATAAATGGGGGAGCAGGGTAAACAGTTTGTGTCCAGGGTGGGGCTCGCCACAAACCCCCCTGACCGCCTCAAGGTCCTGGAGGCCTGTAGGTCGTTGAGAGAGGGCAAATCATCCTCTCTGCAGAGCGATGATGAGCTTATACGATTATTAGTGCAATTAACAAATACAAAATTGAATTGTGGTAATTGCGATTAATGATGATTAATCACAACATTAAAATAGTATTATAATTGTGGGGGAAACTTCTTTAGCAATGGAGTCAGGACTCAAAGAGACACGAGGAGAGCTGGATCTTTGATGTCAAACACTGATGGTTTATTTGGAGCTTCGGTCGGAGAATTCACAAGACAAGTCATAGGGCCAATCGTCTGACCACACGGATGAGTTGCCACAATTCATTCTGAAGAAACCGTCCTCTCGTAGAGNTTTTAAATAGTTTGGATGAGGGTAATCAACATTCTTCACTAGATTGACTAAACAGCTGGGGACACTGAATTACTTGCAGATGACGCTTATGGCCTCGAAGATTTCACACCTTGGAGTCATCAAGCCCCGAGAAGGAAGCATTCCATATGTCCCCATAGCATAACTATCTTGGACCAAAAGATGCCCGGTCGTAAACTGGGTCTCACAGTTGTATCGCTGCCGAAAGGAAGCAACATGAACAGGCTCCGGCTGGGTTAGGCCTCTAATATGTGTGGAGCTCTTTTGGGGCCCCTCACCAGAGCCCCCAGGAAATGCGGCAAGCACATTTTTGGTGGAGGTTGGTACTACAACTGCCGTGTCAGACTGTGACATCATTTGGCCCAAAAAGAATCCCCTTGACTTAAATTTCGAAAGAGACGTCTGTAAATCAGTGTAAAAATAAATCTACTTCCCAGGACGAAGTCGTCTAGCCCATATTAAAGTCATCAGGTCCTTAAAGTTGTAAATGCATTAAAATCCAGATCTAGAGTTATTGTTTGTTCATGTAACTTAGCCGTGACCGGACGTGACGAAGTGGATTGGAGGCGGGGCTTAAGGAAAATGCGAGTGCACTTGCTCTATGAGCCCAGATCCCCGGCTGATCTGATGTCGTTGTTCTCCAGAGGAAGACCATTTTGGCTTCATGCGCAATTGAGCAACTTTCATAGTTATGTAGGGTGCCCCGCCTCCAACTCTGTATATCTTTGTACATCCAGAGTGGCTACATAACAACAAACTGTGAGCGGAGACAGGCAGTTCCTCTGGGCTGCCTCGTTCAGAACACATTATCCAACAAGCTATTCAGATAGGACTCTCCTTCCTATGGCACATGCAGTCTCATTCAAAAATATGATATATATTTCTCATCTCTGTGATGCTAATTCCCAGGAACTTTACCCTGTTACTGGCTCCCCCTCAGCGTGACTGAGGTAAACAGCAGTGTGCCTCCACCTTATTTTAATAAAGGGGGCTGAGCACACAGCCCTGGGGAGCTCTGTTGTTTAACACTACAGTAGATAGGAGGAGACCACCATTCTGAAGTGTCTGTTTGTGAGGAAGTCCAATATCCAGTCATGCTCAGGTTCCTCAGTTCTCCAATCAGTCTCATGATGGAGATTTTTATGGTTAATGCTAGGAAGAAATGACCAGCATGGTGCCGCAGGGGGTGGTATCTTCAGATGTGTGAGGCTTGGGTTGATGCAGTGGTAGTGACCTCCTCTGAGGATCTGCTGGGGGCAGGCTGGATGGTGAGGAGGAAAATTTGATGTTCTGGAACCAGCTTTTTACAGTAGTTTCTCATCAGGGTTGTATTCTAAAACACTAAACTCTCGAATGATCTACCTTAATTTCAAAATATCGCACTGGAATCATTCATATTAGGCTTTTGTAGACAATCATGACCATTTGTATAACAATGATTTTATCATGTTTCATATGCTTTGTCTGTCATATCAGATGACACTGACCTGAGACCTGTTGTTTACTAAAACACCAATATCCGCCTTATAGATAGGTCTGATAAAGCTCAAAGCTGATGCCACTGGTTGCCTCTCGGACTCAAATATTAAACTTTTCAAGGCCAAAGGTGTTGATCATGTCCTTCAGTCAGATCATTATTTTATACAATATATTTTTTTTCTTTTCTACATGGATTTGGGAATACCACAATAACAACACTGATTCTTTGGATCATTTTCTCTGTTAAGACGACTGTTTATTAGACACAGGAAAGGATATAACAAGACAGTATGTAAAACATCACTGAAGTATTTTAAATAATATGTGTTCATCATGCCTTAAAATGTTGTTGAAGTTATTGTATGAAACTCTCCTGAATAATTGGACAATGAAAGGCTTCCTCTGCTTTCAGCTGGTCAATGAGTGGGAACTTTTAGGTTTTCCTGATTTGAAGTCTCTATTACAGTGACACTTGCTACGATGTATTTTAATGTTTATTATGAAAACTGTGTCTTGTCTTTGAATAATCTCAATGGTTTATCCTCAATGGAAAGAGCCAACAACCCTACCATATTAGACTGAACAACATAAGCCGTAAGGCAATTTGTTAAATAATTAAATATAGTTGATATAATATAGCTACTAAACCTTAGTAAACTTTCTTGAAACTGGACCTTCAGGGCAAATAACAGAAAATCCAGCTTTGGGATATAACCTTGTTAACACTGTTTTACTCCCTATAGATATGGAAGGTACATTTACAAAATAAATAGGTTTACTTAATACTTTAGTTAACGCTTTCCCACTAGCCCAAACTAGTACATCAGAATTAAACCTACTACTGACCAGTGGTTTCAATGACGTAGGCGCGCTGTAAAACGTAATCTGTAAAACGTTCTGAAAACGTGTGTATCACATTTTTCAGAGAAAGCCAGAATAACACGTTTACATTTCTCTGAAATTTCTTTCAGATGAAAGAAATTAGATATCCCAGTGGGTAACAGCAGCCAGACACACTCTATGCTTTATTTGCAGTTTAACTACATTTTTGCACAATTACTTGTCAATACCAATAATACAGTTAATGGTGACATACATTTCTTCTTCCTTTTTATATATTTTTTAAGCTGATTTTATATATTTGCCTATCAGCTAAGAGGGTGTCCAAATAGCACAGATGTATTATATGCTAACTGCAACGGTGCTTAATATAGTTAATATATTTTGGCCACATTTGTATTCCATGTGTTCATTTGGCTCCGCCCCCGGACATTGGACTCAACCAATGAGATTATTTGCCCTAATGACTTCTGATGGATGGAATGCTATTTCTGCCTCTGGTGCAGATCTGCTACTCAGAATATTTTAAAAATATATAAAAAAACTGAATGATTCTCATATGTTGAAGAAAACTCCTGTAATGTGTTTCTAATGTACTGTAATGTTCACAATGTTGTGTCATATGTCGTGTTTTGGGATTTCTTCAGAAACTTGCTGATTGGCTGTGAAAACTGTAGTGGACTGTATTGGATTCTAGTAAAGCGTTAAAACTGGAGCAGTTTGTCATAAATTTGAAAGTGAGCGGACTGCAGGTCTTCAGTGGACATGGAGGGACGGAGGGACATGTAGCATGCTGGTCATCCTGCAAAAAAACATGTAATATTTCTGCTTTCATTTCCTGCTGCAAAACCCTG